ATTCTTGAGATATTCAAAAAACATTCACCACCACTCAATTGTGAAATTGGATAGTAAGAATGAATGATCTTATCACATACTCTTTGTCGTTATTGCGTAGAAAATTTAACAGAAATATCATTCCTATCAAATGTTCGATTTTCACGACATGAGAATGGTTGGTTTGTATGATAAATAATGTCGTAGAAATGAAATGTTCGTTTAAAGATATAATAATTATTGAGTTGTGATAATTAATCGTCAAAATCGCAAGAATCTAGTTTATATTTCTGCTTGCATTCTGCGACTACTAAACGTTAGGTTAAGAATTCGAATAGTAGTTTTGCTGATTAACCACCGTGAACAAAATATAGAATTGTATAAGAAATATGCTGTATATCTCCCATGCAGTTGTTCTTGCTAACTAGAAATTTACGTATTAAACTATCCTCAAGATATTCATCATACTCATTGCTCCAAATTAGAAATGTTTCAGTTTCACTGTAAGCGTGCGCACATTCTAAAAGAAATCCGACTTATACTATCCATCTTACTATTGCATTCGTCTTATTTTATGCGGTTTAATTCTGTAGACCGTTCTTCCGCCTTACTTCTATAATATGACGAAGAAGTCATTCACCCACCACTTTTCTTGTACGTTTGTCACTCGTACATAAAGAGCAATAATTTGTTCGAAACAACCTGTCACTTTATTTTGATTTGTTACTAAAATCATCGATGTGGTCGTTAGTTGTAGTGCTCTCCTGTACAACGGAACTATCTTTGAAAATGAACTGCTAATAGTGTGGATAAACTTATCCTTCTAGATGATATAAGTCTGTTTCCGATTAGACGGATACATCCGTCTAAAAATAAGCTGTTAGAAACATAACATATTGCATATGTTGTTAATGGGAGTACTGATGATCATAAAAATCCGATAGGTAAATAAACTAGGTAAATCATCTAGAATGATTCTTCTAATTCTTCTCTATAAAAAGAAACTTTTCATAGGCTTCTGTTTATTGAAAGACATTAAAAACGACAAAACTATTTATTTTCATTCTTGAGATATTCAAAAAACATTCACCACCACTCAATTGTGAAATTGGATAGTAAGAATGAATGATCTTATCACATACTCTTTGTCGTTATTGCGTAGAAAATTTAACAGAAATATCATTCCTATTGGCAGATAACAGTACTCTCTATCGATAATGCCTTATACCATAACTGTGATATTTAGTTTACATAGAGTTAGATAATTTAAAGTCATGTCTTTTATATTAAATATTAACTAGAAGAAAAAAAGAAACTATAATGAAACGTTAGCACATTAAATGTTATATTTTGATGTTAATCAAATCCAAAAGTTAAATCTATGCTTTGCACGTATCTTCACATAGTTTTCTTGTTGTAAAATTATTTTTATTTCCACCACAACCCTAAAAATAAAGATCAGTACCAAAACAGAATTAATCTCTATGCATAGACTAACTTACGCCATATGTAAATTGTTCACAAGTTCTAGTGCTTGGATTATAAAAGAAACGTGGCATAGCAGCACGACATATTCCAGTTACTTTTGGTTCTTTACAAATAGCTAAGATAGAACAGACATCAAAATTGAGAATAACAATTTCCAATTGAATAGATATTTTAACACACCTTTTGTATTTTTGTCATTTCCAAATGATTTGGGTTCTTCACAATGTGCTAAAAATTTTGTAGCTCCACCAAATACGGAAGATTTATCGATGACACACTTTTTACCAGCACCACATAGTCGAGACTTTTAAAAATATTTCAGATAAACAGTTTTGTTAACCGGTTTGATCACGTAACTCTGCTACTGTAATATAATTTCGTCACGACTTTTTTACATTTTGTTTCTATAATTCTCGAATGAGAGCAAGTTCAGTGCTCTGCTACATCTCATATCAAAGAGAAAAGTGTCCTAAATATTTTGAGACTTTGGCACACTCTACAGATCCTTTGTTTAGGAACGAAAGCAAAAATACGAACTGTCACTTGTTCAGATAAGTTTTCCAAAGTAGCAGTTCGTATTTTTGCTTTCGTTCCTAAACAAAAGTACTCGTAGAGTGTGCCAAAGTCTCAAAATATTTAGGACACTTTTCTCTTTGATATGAGATGTAGTAGAGCTTTGAACTTGCTCTCATTCGAGAATTATAGAAACAAAATGTAAAAAGGTCGTGACGAAATTATACTGCGGTAATACAGTTACGAAATCAAATTGTAACGTCAAAGGAAAACTTACTTTACCACCCGGATTACATGGATCATGACATTTACATATATCACATTCATTTTTTTTTTCAAAACCATACGCACATTTCTTTTTACAATTTTTTACTGGAGGACATCCTGATTTTGTGGGTACAACGCCCGGTTTAACACCAGAAGATTGTGAGTTACCTCCTTTAATCAAGAAAAACTGCGTTATCTAACAGATAATTGAGGAAGTTAAATAATTTAGCTTACCAACTTGAATAACTGGTATATCAATGTTTTTTGTTGGATTAAATCCAGTTAATGTTACTGGTATTCTAACATCATTTAAAAATAATAATTTCTGATTTCTATCTTTAATAGTTGCTGATACGGTATAGGTATGTCCCTGTTTAACTTGAGTAGGATTATATTTGACAAAAAATGATGTTGGAAATTTGTGTACATCAATTGTTATATTTGAAAGAAGTTTTGCGGCCGTATCTTGTAAACTTGTATCTTTTATTGCAACTTCTAATTTTGCACCGGGAGTTAATTTTCCTATACCAGTATGAAGAACTTTACCATGAATAATATTTTCCGCCGAATAAGATCCTGTTAATAAAATATTATTTTTATTTAAAATATATTTTATATTGTACCAAAAACACTTACCATGAAGGAAAATTGTTAGATAAATTAATGTTAATAGTAATGCCATTTTTCTTTATTTTGAACAATAAAACTACTTTTCCAAGTAGAGAAATTCTTATGTATGCTTTGTTTTATCTTCTTACTTAAGATTGTCTCTTATATATTGTGATTACTTTTTTTTTTCTTCTTATTCATTATTGAGTGTTGAAAGGTTATTTTTGATTGTCATTGAGTTTTTTTGTCATATTATTACAAGGGCACACATAGAAGAAAAACATTGTTTATTTTAGACTTATATCCGTCTACGCATTAAGATAATCTCCGGATGTTATAATTGATTTACGTATAATATTATGATGTGTACAAATGAATAATAGTCATTAGATTAATGTTTCAATGAAAAATAAAAATTCAAGATTGTATGACGAAATTTGTCATGACCCCCATTTCGACACCTTTTTTTGAAAGCTAATAGTGCTCTAGAATTAACAAGATATTAGTCATATTTAGACTTCGTCATACAAGAATTACTGACTGTTGAAATTTTATCTCATTCAAGTTTTTCATTACATACGTCAAGATATTTTTCGATGCTTGTTTTGCGTTTAGAAACGTAACCAACTGATAATAGCTGACACAGTAGAGATCCGCACGGGCCGAAAAGTTTTGGCTCGGCCCAATGATGAAAGTTTTCGGACCAAGCCCGGTTCAGCCCGACTAAACGTAGAATTTATCTGGCCCGGCCCGACCAATCCTCAAACATTTGTGGCCCAACTCGACCACTTTGCATGATTTTCTTCTTGGATCTGTAATGCTTTTGCTGGCTAAGTGGTGTAAATGTATTTCTCACGCTAACATTTATATTTTTATGATTTCTCGGTACTATACACGTAAATTATAAATCCACCCATGTTTAAAATTTCTAAGTTTGGCCCGGTCCGATCCGACCAAAATACTTTGCAGTCCAAGCCCGGTCCGACTAGTCTTTAAAATTTTCTGACCCGGACCGTGATGATCTCTGTGACACAGTCATCATCAAGAATTATTCAACTGAATAGTGACGTATCTAAATCTTAGATATTACTGATCATCATCTGACTAGAGATCACATGCGATAATATTAACAAAATTGTCTGAAAATAAAGTTAGAACTGCTAACACTTTCGTCATTATGTTGTGGGTTTGAGCAGGTGTTACACCATAGTTATATCCAATCTGCAGGGCGTATAAGAAAAAAATTATACAATCATAACAACGTTGAAAACAGATTTTCTTTTTTTCCCTTTGCCTTATATGAGAGATAAAAAAATACTATTATTAATAAATCTTATTTGATTTCCGCGTTAACACATTGTTTAGTTATGTGTAGATACAATAAACGTTTGAAACAATTATTGTTTTATTCATAAGAGCGACAATTGTTTCGATGAAAACGATACGGTTGTATCTTTTATCTAACATTTCTATATGGACTTAGAAAAAATTATGCTCAAGATCAAGCAATAAATCTCCTTTTGTGTCAGCGAGGAAATTAAACTTTTATGTTGGATAAATCATAATATACACTCACAAGTCTTATCTATTTTTCTCCCTCTTAGTGGATTTTGAGTTAGTATTTCTCAACTCTAAGGAAACCTGCTCGCTATAGAGTAACTATTAGAGTCTATTTAAAAATCAGTTCAAGATGTCTGTTTTAGTTCCTTGACACGATCATATAATTTAACGAGCGGAGAGTACGTATATTTTCAAAGTTGCACAGAAGAATGTATTTAATTTAAAAACCTTTCTTTTTCATATATCGTACTTTTGAATATAATCAGTTTAAAACATTCGAATGCATTTCAAATTTTGAAGTGATATTTATACCAGGTGGTGTAATTTCGAAGACTTGTATTTGTGCCGTTCGTAGTAAAAACTGTGTGCGTGTGTGTTTATTTCAGAGTATTTACTATCAACAGCTTGCATATGTTCTATTATTATTTCTCTCTCTTTCTCTCTTTCAGTCTTAATAGACATATGGAAAGAGCTGTTATTCATCCTTTCATACGATAAATGAAGCGAAAAATACTGATAGTTGCTTTATATGACAAACAACAACGAAAGAATTAATCTTGAGTTAAGTGATACATATCGAAAAACTAATACTAATGTTTTCAAACTAATCATCAGCAAAAGGATGGAAGAGAAATAATGACCCATAATCCAGACTATGCCAACAAACATAGGAGTAACTGTTTTATATTTTGAAGAAACAGCGAGAGCTCACTCAGTGAGGACTCGTCCTGTGTTTCTTAAATTCTATTTCCTGCTTTTCTTCAGCAGAGCTGAGTGAGTCCGAGTCCGGATTGTGGGTTTCTTTTGAAGACTCGGAGTCGAGTTTTATGCACTTCGAGATTGACCGATTTAGGTTTGAAGATAAATGCGTGATGAACGATGAACGTGAGAGAGCAAGTTTGACAACAGAAAAATCTATCTCACTGGTATTATACAAAGTAATAGAAGTTTACTGTAGTAACTACAATATTTCATGGCATACCGAAATATGAGAAATAAACCACGACAATAAAAAGAGAGTCTAAACATTATCTGAGTTGAATTAGAATCTTGACTCAATGCTACAACTTTAGAAGTTGCACCAGTATTGGAGCAGCTCTGACGAATCGCCATTTATCATTAAAATATGCATCGGGACAACCAAAGTGCTACAGATCATTGTAAGACGATAGTGTATTTTTGTTTTCTGCAACTTCTAACGGACAGTATGCATCCGGACAACCAGAGTGCTACAGACCATTGTAAGACGATAGTGTATTTTTGTTTTCTGCATCTTTTAACTGATTTTTGAGGATACCATTAGAAAACACGTGATAGAGTAAACACTTTTAGTCTTCTTATGCTGGAGTTTACATGGTTTTGAAAGAGCGGTTTTCGATATTACTTATTGGCACAGTATTAAAAACTGCTTAAAAACTGGTAGAACGAGTAGTCAAAAAAGCTATGATCACAAGGAAACTATCAATATAGAAGAGGAGAAGACTAACACTAAGTCGTTTTAGAATTTGAGGTGATATTTGTGAAACATTATGAGATGTTAAATAGTGAAGATCGTTTGCACCGCTAGCGGTATTGTATGCACCTGGATTTATTTGCCGTTTAACTGGTACTGGAGGATAAGCGCTGTAATCTGTCGATATAGTCGTAGGATGGATTTTCGCCCAGAGAATAAATTCCATTTACGTCTACTTGCTTTTGCTTCCTGATTCCCAAGTCAACCATTTTGTAAGAAATTTTTAGTTAGTTAGTAAACACAGCCCATGTTTCAACGTGCTTCTCCTTTCACATTCTTTCTCTCGCTTCGATGTAGTTGTGCGGTGATAAGTGCACAAAAATATAAATGTTATCATCGAAGTCACAGTTCATCGATTCACGGTTCTATGTTTGTGAGTAATGATGATGACTTTCACATATATCTAATTATTGTGTAGACGCTGAGCAAAAATAAAACCCATAAGCTGCGTGTGTGATTAGCTAATGGTATAAACATCAGTGGTTTTTTGACGGTTCGTAAGATAGCAGACGTACGACTCAACATTTAGTTTACGGTATTTAGTATATACTCTTTTTTGCCTTTATTTGCCCACACTATTTTGAGATTTTTCTTCTGCAGATTAGCGGAGTGTGAGTGCCGTTTCTTTTTGTATTGTTACAGAGTAAAGCATGTTTTTCCCTGTTTTTTACCAGTCTTCACTACATTTGAGCGAGCAACGGTATAGTAGGGATAGATTATAACTACAGGATCCATAGATACAATCGTGCAATAAACTAACAGTTCACGAAACGGAAAAACTTATCATAAATGAGTGTCATTTTTGTGAAAAAAATTGAAAACAAGCGACTACTGACATGTCATCATAGCTAGCACATGTATCCGAAACGTTCATAGACTGTGGAGAACCTCGTTTTGTAGATCTACCTGCGCTTGCTTATACTTACAAGGAGTAAACGTTTTGACTTCTCATTCTACCTGTACGTTTATAACTACCTGTTTTTTGCTCTCAACTGTACACTAATCAATATTTTTTTGGTGAACAAAGATACATTTACTCATATATTATATATGAAATAAAGACCTTGAGACGGTCTATCCAAAGAACGTCAATCCTGGAAGAACGAGTGAAGTTAGAAGGAGAAAAAGTAAAATAAGTTTATATCATGAGTGTCGTGCCATATGCTACATTCTAAAAAAAAGCATCGTTGCATACAAAACCCAAAAGGTTTTCTAAAGGGTTTAGTAGACATGTCTAACGTCGTAGAGCAATCTAAGTCGTTTCGAAAAGCCTGGTATTTTTTTAAATGATCTATTCGTCTTACTCTAAAATTAGGCTTTTTTCTAAAGATCAAAAAGTTTTGTCTAACAGGTGAGAAACCCTTGGGATTTCTCTGAAAAAACTCAACAGGGTGTTTCGCTAAACCTTTGTGGTTTTCAGTTCGATCCTGAAGGTCGCTATGACTGTGTGGTTAAGTTGTTTGGCACGTACCCCCAAAATACTGTGTTCGTGCCTCAGCGTCACCAGACATGGAATGACCTTGGGCAAGTCATTAACGGTTGTTTGCCTCTGGTCACCCGTCCGATAGCACGCTGACTACGTTGTGACATACACCAGTCCTCGTGCCTAGTATGTGGTTAGTCATGGTATATGTGAAGCTCAAGCGATTGAGCGAAAGAACTCTGAGTCAGGCTAGCCTTCTGTTCAGGGCTACAGCTAGTATTAGTTGTAGGGAAGATATCGGGCTTACGAAACTGTCTCCGGACAGCACCCTATACCGCAAGGTACCCAAAAGGCGGGGTATTCTTTCTTCTTCTTCCTTCTTCCAGTTCGATCTTGTAGAGTTTTCAAGTTCACTAAACTGTACGGTTTAGAAACTAGGGATTGCTTACAATTTTGTCGGGAAGTATGTTACTTTTTTACTTTTTCCGGCATTCAAGCAGTTCAGTTGTAGATTCACCGAAGGGAGAAAATCTCATCTCAAGTGTGGGCACTTGGGTATACCAGAAAAAGTTAAAAAGAAAAATATTAAGCGATTAATATTAAAAATCGATTAAATTTTTTTCTATCTGAACTAATAAATAGTTTTCTTGTTGTAAGATAGAAAAATATTAAAGTTTTTCGCAGGATAGAAATATATTAAATTATTTTATTCAGATAGAAAAATATTTAAATAAGGTACAAAAGTCAGGTTCCGCATATTCCTACCTTCTTGGTAGGTTCAAATTGCGACGTCAGTTCCATCGTTTAGAATAAGATAAACGAGATAGGAAAATATTAAAGTTTTTTTGCATAAGACAGGAAAATATTTAGTTATTTTAAAATTAAAGAAAAATATTGAACGAATTAATATTTAAATAAGGTAGAAGAATATTTAATCGATTTTTAATATTTTCGTCGTTTAATATTTTTCTTTTTAACATTAGTCTATAGACCCTGTGGACTTCAAGGGTATCAAGTTTTTTGATCGTCAAAAAAAGGTACTTTTGATCACCAAATTTTTCAGCATGTTACATATTCATTGAAATATTAACCAAATGAACAATAATAATTTTCACAGTTTTATTTATATCTATTTACAAATTTAAAGCTGTGCTAACTTTCTTGGGAGGCCCTTTTGCTTTTTGTTTGTCTAATGGCTGAATACGTGTTTTATCGCTAACTTGATACAAGTTAAATAAAATTGCTAATCCAACAGAATGTTTACGCGAATATATTTTCATGCCAATCGGACAACTACATGATTCTAATGGTACAACAAACCAACAGGATTATTGCCACACCAGAAAATCTTTGAATGCAAGCCACTGACGACAACGATAAATATCTAGCCAATGATACAATCAATGATTTTCTGGTGTATTCAACCATTAGGCAAACAAAAAGTAAAAGGTCCTCCCAAGAAAGTCGGCACAGCTTTAAATTTGTTAATCAATATAAATAAAATTGTGAAAATATTGTTCATTTGGTTAATATTTCAGCAAATATGTTTGTATTGTACATTATACTTTGTTGAGAAATAAAAATGTGAGATCATGCTGAAAATTTTGGTGATCAAAAGTACATTTACTCGCACTTCAATGTGTCTATTTGAGAGCCTGTTGGCTGGTTCCCAAAATTGACGTCAGAGATATAGAGAAAACATTTGCAGACGTCAAAAACCATCTACTAAACCTTTTTAAGGGTTTATTATCTCTCATGATAAAACGGTTTAAGAGACAGTTTTTATGTCTTCAGTGTATTGACGACATAAACTTACTGACCGAGAGGTATACCTCTTTTGCAGTACTTTACAAAACCAAACGAACATCTGATTGGGATACTTTTCTCAACCCTTCTAGACTTTGTATGAGATATTTTAGAGTATGAAGGACTTTTCCAGTAGAAAAACTTATATATCAAAGAATGAAACCAATATTATCTCAATTAAAGTCAAAGGGTAGTAAATAAAATACCGTAATGAAGAATATCAGATTTAATGAACATGCACTTCTGATTCACTTGCAGATGGTGCCACTTCCTTCTTTCTGAGCTTTCCATACGAATGTTGTTAGATTTAAAATTAAGAATGACTGAGACTTTATCGTTCAGCATTGTGCCAGACTGAACGGAAAAACTTTTTGTTTCACATGTCTATCTGTTATCATGCATAGTTTTCTAGAAAAAACTCCGTTTTCATTTATGTTTTATTCAAGTTTTGTTCGAGTGATCTCAGAAATTTATCAGAAATGCTGAACCCTATTGCAGAGATATTTCAGAATTTTGTTTACATCTTGTCTGTTCTATTTGTTAGAAAAATAATAAAAAACTTTACTTTATCAAAATCAAATTTTTTAATTTTGAAAGCAGAAAAAATGAAGTTCTCATAACATTTGTACAGAAAGTCCATGACGATAGCAGAAAACTGTTAGAAACAATGCGTAGATTAATCACAATAAAGAGTAATTTTAGCAGGTGCTGGTATCAGTCAGTTCACAAAGACTCCTTCAAAACTCACAACTATTCGCCGTAAAGTTTAATAGTTTTCTTAAATAAATAATTTTTTTGTAAGTTCATTATTTATTCAATTAAAGAACCAAACCTCTGTTGAACACAACAGGAACACCAGTTGGATAGCTGAAGCATCATCTTCACTGACACATGTTTAAAGGAAGAGTAAAATTTTTGTAGTGAACGAAATCCTTATAAAACAAGTAACGTTCATCATGCTGATTCACTTATCTCTTGACTGGAAAGGAATTGCCAATATCAGTCGCTTGCTTCGACGTGCATTCCCTAACTGGCTGAACTTTCTTCTGCCCGAAGTAGTTTTTTATAGATCTGCCGATCTTCGATGACTATGACTCAAAGACAATGCTCACACCCCCTAAGATCGGCGTTCGCTACAAGTCCCTCCACAAATGTGCGTATGTACGTCCGCCAAACTAATGTTTTCAGCTGCTCAGCTATTGGATAACCCTCAACAACAGTAGTTGTTGGGACACACTGACGGGCATTTAACACTTGCAGGACTCTCTCTCCCCTCCAGCGGAGAGAATTTTCATGCAATTAAGAGGGATTAAAGTTTTCGACCAATAAAATCCACACAGTAGTCCACATCATAGTCATTTTCTGATTCTCCATAGTCGATTACCTACCCCACATCATTTTCAACCACCAAGTGGAAATGATGTGTTCCACTAATGGAATCGACGGTAGAGGTCGCTGATAGTCGTTTTTTGATTTCCTATAGTCGACTACACTGTAAATTTTGACTTCACTAAAGTGGATGACATGACAGTCGGAAATGTGGATGATTTTCCTTTGTTTAGCTATAGTCATCCACTATAGTGGCTGAAAAGTGTTACCCGGCCAGCTGATAGGTCATCCACTTTGGTAGCTGCTAAGTCAGCCGACCGGGTAACACTTTTCAGCCACTATACCGGATGACTACAGCTAAACAAAGGAAAATCATCCACTTTAGTGAAGTCAAAGTTTACGGTGTACCTACTCCACAACATTTTCATCCATTCAAGTGGATATGATGTTTTCGACTAACAGGATTGACCGCAGAGGTCGCTCATACTCATTTTCTGATTATCCATAGTCGAGTACCTACTTCATATCGTTTTGATCCTATCAAGTTTTGCGCTACTAGTTTGTGTGTCGCTAACAGTCTGCAGACATTTAAACATACAAACATACATACAGGTATTTTAACTAGATAAGACCCTTTTCTATACAGTCAAGGGAATTTCCAAGTAATAAAAAGACGACTTTATATTCCCATTTTCTTTTTAATTTGAACTTGCTAGAAAAATCTGATATTATAAACATATTTCTTTTGAGCTTTCAGGAGCATTTCATACGGCTTACAATTCATTTAGATAAGGTTGGTTTTTTCCATTCGAAGTGCATTATTGCATTTAACCAACAATATAAAATTTGTTGAATCATCATGACATACGTATATATCATGTGTTATTGCACAACACGAAGAAAAAAAATTAGAAGCCATTTGCATTATTTGCAACGTAAAGAATATGAACGTTACTGCGTTGGGATTGTTCATATTCATAACGTTTTGTGAAATTCATAGTTCTTCAGCCGTGCACTGTACAGGGTTGGGAACCGTCCTATTTTGTAGCTTAACAATTTTTCTATCAAATGGTAAATGAGCAAAGTCTAGCAGCTGACTAGTTTAAGCGGCATAGTCTTTTTGGTATACGCCACTTTCATACAAAAGGGTCTCATTGCAGCGAGTTATGCGCAAGTGTTTAGTTGAGAATTAGACTCTGCTTAATTAAGATTTGAAAGAAAAATGTTTAAGCTTCAAAATAAGATATTCCCCAAGCTTAGATGAAAGTAAAAGTTTTCTTGAGTAATTCAAACAGCAAGTGTCTCGCGGATATATGTCAAATGCACGTGGTATTCAAGAGTATAGTGTAAAACAATAGAAAAAAGCTGAAAAATACGAAACCAGAAACGCTAATATTGTTCAGTTGTTTCGTATTTTCTCTTATTTGTAGAATAGCATAACCTTCGGTGATGGACAATGACGTTGATTGGATACTAGTAGAGAATGAAGATGAATTAATTGTTGTACCAAAAATAACATCAGACTTTGAGAAAGCTTCCGAAGAAGATTCCTATTTAAAAAACAAACTAAGCTATGCCACTGCTTTACTTAAAAATGTTCAACCGATTCATCATCAACCACTACCAGTTTCGCTCATCATGCCAAGAAAGGAAAAAAATGTTAGTAAACTGCATGATGAACGGAAATCAATGGCACTATCGTTAGAACCCAAGCCTGGTAGTCAATATCGTAATCCTCGCGATAAGGCGGGTAAGAATAAAGTCCATCAAGGTCGACGATGCCCATCACCAGCACCAAAAAATTTGGGTAATTCATTGAAAATCGGTTGTACATTCTGTAACACAAAACTATCAAACCGCGTTGAACACAAACGAGAAGCACGTCAGCAACGTTCAAAATCATATTGGAAAGACTACGACTATTGACTCGTAAATCATCTTGGCCTCACTTACTTCTATTCAAAACAATAAATCTTTGGCAATTAGTACTCCGATCTAAAAAACTACGTTCCAGTAATATCTTGTTTTTTTTAACATTTTTGTTGACTTCTTTTTAAATATGTTTTCACTTAGAACCACGACTAAGGTGTAAGGGTCTGGTAGAATATCCCTAGCAAAACGTGACAATCAAAGATCAAGCACAGTAATCTCAAATATAAAATGAATTAAACATGCATGGATCAGTTAAGGATATCCACCAGTCTTTTTTGAAAAAATTTCGAATTTCTAGCTGAGCATAACCTAATGTACAGGAAAGTGTGGGCTACAAAATGAGACCACTGCCAGCATTTCACGACCTTTCTTCAAAAAGTTATGCATTTTTAAAAACTTTTTTCAAAGCCTAAAAATAATCTCTCCTTTTTTCAAAATATATTTACTATATATAGCATTTTTTCACATCACGCTTTTGTATATTCTCTTATTGAGCCGGATTTTTACCTTTTACTTATCAAATGAATGGTCAGCATCAAAAGTCCAAAATTGGAAAAAAATCCCATTAACTTACACAAAGATATTTTTCTAACCATAAGACTGGACCAGATACCAAAAATCGGGCTCTATTAGCCTCTAGCCACACGTGTCAGCTTCAGTTTAAGAACTTTTCGAGCTCTCTGCGATGCTTCGTTACCGAGAAACCTTGCAGCTATGAAATGGTGTTAAGGTGGAACTTGTTATGCATGTTTACCACATCTAAGATTATCATGTGTGTCACGATACTGATGCCAGTATCTGATGCATGTTTTAGAACTTCGAGCAAAACTCTCATAACTCTTGATTAACCCTAGTAGTACCAAGTGGGTCATTTTTGACCCATACCGAAAAATTTGAAAACATAGTGGGAATATTTTGTTACTTTTTTCAGGGATAAAAAAAAGAAAAGGGGTGCAAAGCGATGGCCGCTTTGCATTTTTTGTGGAATGATCGACATTGCCGCTATAAATGCTTTAATCATATGGAAAGAGAAGAATACCAACTGGAATGAAAACAAAAGATATAAACGTCGCTTATTCCTTGAGGAGTCAGGGATGAGTTTGGTCTCATCTCTTCTGGATCATCGCTCAAGAACCTCGAAAAACTTACAGACATTCGAAATGCATTAGCTGTCGTGGGCTATCCTGTGGTGGAGGAAGAGAGACACACGAAGCAAATGAAAACTCTGCTCAACGTAAACGAAAACGATGTTCAACCTGCGATCCTTCTAAAGATAGAAAAACTTCAAATAAGTGCTACAAATGCTCAGAATTCGTTTGCAATGAGCATTCTGTGAAGCGCATTTTCTGTATCAAATGCTCCAAATAAATAAAGGTCGTTATTTTGACAGTTTGTTTATCGCATTAAACATGCGAATGACACGTAAGTACTAAAATACTGATGAAAAAATAAAATAATCCGTTAAGAAAAACTGTATACTACCAATGGAGTGCTAAAAAAAGGCTTGGTACTACTAGGGTTAAAATATTCAAACAGCCCAAAAAATTGATTTAGAGAGAAAAATGTGTCTAAAAGAGTGAAGACGAACGAGCTGGTGAAAATTGAACAAGTATATCAGTTTGTAGAAAATTATTTG